CTGGTAGAGCTTAGAAATACCTTGCCGAAGTATTAGAAATTTTAGATAATATGGCACATATTAAATTCCTAAAAGAACAAAACAAACTTATTTTTATATACCCATTTGTAGGCGACCTCTCCTGGCATGACTTGTGTGAGTTAAAACCGTTAGTACCACAACCACACTTTGATAACCGTGGACATATTATTGTCGAGCCGAAGTGTTAGCACTAAACATATTGCTAAAAATTTGATATTGTATCTTTCTAATCTTTAATATATTATTAACTATATAATACATTATTTATTTTTAATATAATACACTTAAGTATTTATTTATAATCCAACGTGTATTAAATTAATTAGTATTGATATATATGCTATTTGTGATAGTTCCAATCGATTTATTTCCAAAAATACGATCCAAAAATGACGAATGTTTGCATGTTCTGTTCGTTACTTTTTTTTTGTCCGTGTGTGATTTTGGTTGAAACTACTATTACAGAGCAAAGATACATCGTAGAATGCTGTAACTTTGTAAAAATCTTTGAAAATGCTTGTATAATTACCTATAAAAAACAAAACACTCGTCACTAATACATTTTCAGAAAAAAAAGGATTCGTTTATTAATTTTTTATTTTTTTCTTTTTTCTGTTCCGTGCGTGACTCCATTAAAAAATTCATTTATTTTATAATGAAGCAACCCATAGCTACTCTACTTTGTATAGGTAATATATACATAGATATCAATTAAATAAAAGTAAATCAGTGGTTACAAATTGCATTATTTTCAAAATAATTAATGCAACAGATGCAATGTTCCGTGCGTGATTTTTTGGAAATGCCCAGCTGTAAAACATGTATTAAATAAATATTGAAAGTTAAGTTCTCACAACATAAAAAAAGGCAGATAGAACCCTATAATTCTAATGTGACGATATATATATATGTCAGGTCAGGAGTATGGTCTTCATGATTATCCTGCTACTGGTAACATGTAACCCAGTGCAACCTGTTCCATGTTCTGCTGCCTTGCAGGATTTGCTTTCTATTTTCAACAACTTTCGCGGTGTTAACTCACCCGTAAGTTGATTTATGTTTATTTATATTTGTTTGTGTTCTGTTTATACTCTAATGTAGCGTGAGCTCAGTAACTAACTACTTACTCCAACTACAAAACCTACACTCACCTTAGACTCCTGTATTTTGTTAGATGCAGTGTTTTTCCTAATGCACTTCCAAAATGTCATGCCTGGTTTTCTCAAAGTACTGTTGTGGGAAGTAACTCCTTTTAACTACTCCAGGTCAGGTCAGGATAATCGAGATCAATCTTGCTACTGGTATCACGTAACCCAGTACCACCTACCACAAGCTCTCGATAAAAACACTCATCTTGGGCAGATGTTAACTGCATCCAGCTAAACATCCCCTGCCTTGAGGCTCTTGGTTGAGTAAAGGCTAGAGATGGTGTCTCGATAAAAACACTCATCTTGGGCAGATGTTAACTGCATCCAGCTACTGTCTTGTAGAAGGCCTCCTAGGCAAAGACTTTAGGGGTAAGCAGAAAAATTCTGCTAACCAGCCTCGAACCCCTTCTTCATCTATTAGGCTGGCATAGATGTAACCTGTGTTACATTGTTTCCTGCCTAGGATGATGAATGCTGGATCTCCTTGACTCTACTCATAGAATTTTGCTTATGCCTCCTTGATAATGGCTATGCAACTCTTCCTGTTATCTTCATATGAGGGTACAGCTCTAAAACTCAGTTTAATGGTTCTGAGGCCGGCTGGTAGTAAGGTTTCCCGAACTCTGTGGTAGCTCTCAGAAAGGCCGATTCCATCAACAACTGCAAAATATCAGAGTATTAACAGTGCCATGTTGGGCATGGATGGTGTCCCTGTTAATGCTTTTGGTGTGTATTGTCAAGGCCACATAAGGAGCCCTATGTCACGGCTTAGGGTTAATTAACAGGACTGGGACAACTGCATAGCTCATTGATTAGAAGGCTGTGCTCTATCTATGAATGAGTCAAGTTCTCATTAAACCCAAATCATGACCAAAGTAACCAAAAATTTAAAACCTAAAAAACCATCCCCACCACCTAACTATTTTAATATATCTCTTACAAATATTCGCTGTCTACGAAGCAATTTTCCATCAGTTGAGTCTTACCTCCTGCAAAACTCACCAGACTTGCTTGCACTCAGTGAAACAAATTTAAATTCTGCAATTTCTTCTTCAGATGTCAGTGTTGATGGGTACTATCCTTTGATTCATAAAGACTCAAATATTCACATGCTAGGTTTAGTGGTATACATACGCATTAATTCCACTATTTGTCGTTAAATCAGGTTCGAATCCTTTGACCATTCTTTTATGTGCTTTTGCCTAGCACCTCTTCACTCTATCACCTTTCTCTTTGTTCTTTATCATTCTCCTTCTTCCCATGATTGCACTCTCTTAGATGTTATCTCTGATCAAATTGACCATGCCCTCTCTCTTTACCCCTCTGCCAATATTGTTGTTGTTGGTGATTTTAATGCCCATCACACTGAATGGCTTGGTTCTAACACCACTGATCCTGCTGGCACTAAAGCCTTTAACTTCTGCGTTTCTCAATCTCTTACTCAGATAGTTAACTTTGTGACTTGTTTTCCTGACAACCCTAATCACTTACATTTACTCCTTGACTTATGTCTTGTCTCTGACCCTAGCTTATGTTCAGTTTCTCCCTTTTCTCCCTTAGGTGGTTCTGACCATGCAATGATCTCTATAAATCTTTCTTCTCGTACTTCTTTTTTGGGCTCACCTTATCATCGCACCACCTACTACTACCCTAAAGCTGACTGGGATTCCTTTTGTGATTTTCTTCGTGATGGTCCTTGGGCTGATGTTTTTTCTCTCTCAGCTGACAAATGCGCCTCCTACGTAACCTCCTGGATTCAGGCTGGAATGGAAACTTTTATACCTTCTTTTGGAAAATCTTCAACAGCATTATTAACAAGGGTAGATCTAACATTCCATCTCTCATTCATGGGACTGATCTTATTACCTCTCCCAAGGATAAGGCAGAACTATTTGCAAAGAACTTTTCTTCTAATTCCACTCTTGAATCTTATGGACATTCTCTTCCTTCCATTCCAGTCAAACAGGTTGACCCATTGTTATACATTCAAATCACTCCGGCTTCTGTTGCTAAAGTCATATCTCAATTAAATCGTCTACAGCTTGTGGTCCAGACAACATTCCTGTCACAGTCTTGCAGAATTGTTCTCCAGAACTTTCTTCAATTCTCTCTAAACTATTTAACAAGTGTTTGACTGAGTCTTGTTTTCCTGATTGTTGGAAAATGGCATCTGTGGTTCCAATATTCAAAAACTCTGGAGAAAATTCTGACCCCTCCAATTATCGCCCGATCAGTCTTCTTTCTGTTATTAGCAAGGTCTTTGAATCTTTGATCATCAAATTCCTCACATCTCATCTTGAGTCAAATAAACTACTGTCAGACAATCAATACGGTTTTCAATCCTCTCGCTCTGCAGCCGACTTGCTAACTGCTGTATTGAAAGATTTTGTCGTGCATTAGATGGAGGCGGTGAGGCTAGGGCGGTTGCTCTTGACATATCTAAAGCTTTCAACAAAGTTTGGCATGCTGGTCTTCTCCATAAGCTTGCTTCATATGGTGTTTCTGGGAAGGTTTTTGAGATTATTAAATCATTTCTTTCTAACCGGTTTATTAAAGTCATCCTTGAAGGCCAACACTCTTCTTTATTTCCATTAACTTCTGGGGTTCCCCAAGGTTTCAACCTAGGCCCTGTTTTGTTTCTTATCTACATAAACGATCTTTCTGACAACCTTTCATCTAAAGTAGCTCTTTTTGCTGATGACTCAACTTTATACTCCTGTCTTGACAAAAAGTCTTCTCTTTTCGATCGCCTAGAACAAGCAGCTGATCTTGAATCCGATCTCACTTCAGTAATAGATTGGGGTTCACAGTGGCTTGTGAATTTCAACTCTAAAAAAACCCAGTTGCTTACTGCAAACAACTACTGTAATATGGTCAACATTGCTATATTAATGAATGGCAATCCTCTTACTGAGTCATCCTCTTTACGTCTTCTTGGATTATCGCTTACTACTGACCTTTTTATGGAAACCATATATACAATTGATTGCTAAATTAGCTTTTGCTAAAGTTGCTTCTCTTTATTGTGCTCGCCATTTCCTTACTTCTGATTCCATTCTCTACCTCTCTCTTATTCGTCCCTGTATGGAATACTGTTGTCATATTAGGGCTGGTTCTTCTAACGATTCACTTTCTCTTCTTGACAAGGTCCAAAAACGCATTGTAAATGTTGTTGGACCTGGACTATCTTCTAAGCTTGAACCTCTTTCCTATCGTCGTAAAGTTGCGTCCCTTTCTCTTTTCTACAAATACTATCATGGTCACTGCTCAAAGGAGTTATCATCTCTAGTTCCATCAACTAAAATTCATTCTCGTTTTACTCGTCATTCAGCTAAGTCTCATTCGTTTACTGTATCTGTCCCTGCATGTCCTAAAAACTTTTATTCATCTAGTTTTTTTCCCCGCACTTCAATCCTTTGGAACTCTCTCCCATCTTCATGTTTTCCTGACTCATACAACCTTCAACTTTTCAAATCTTCTGTCAACCGTTTCCTTGCTCTATAACTCTGCTCTTTTTTTTCCTAGTAACTCCCAACTTAATAGTGGTTGCTTGCAGCCTTTGTAGGAGTGAATGCAAATAAAAACATATATATATATATATATATATATATATATATATATATATATATAAATATATATATATATATATATATATATATATATATATATATATATATATATATATATATATATATATATATATATATATATATATATATATATATGTAGTTTTAATTTTGTTTATTGATTTATTATTTTATATTATACTTTATATATTATTATAATTACATTCTATTTTATGGTTTAGGTTTTATTTTTATTTCATTTAAGACTTTTAATCTGACTTCTGAATTTAATAAACAAAAGGAAAAGGTACGTTTTTTTATGCCTGCATTATTGTGTTATAAATGTTTGTTTAAAAAAATAGACTCTAAAATCTTGTAATATTTTTTTTTATTATTAGAAATTTTTGATTTTATTAAAAACAAAATGTGATAATGTTTATATGTAATGTAAAAATATAAAAGAATATTTGTAAATCTATTTGAAAAAATATATATGTATAGGACATTAACAATGGCAGATCATAAAACTGTGAAAGATTGAAGAAAAGAAGCTTATTCTTTTTTTAATAAATTTTCATTATATGCCTGTCTGTACTTCCTTGTTTGCATTTCCTGATCTATTCTTTTTAATGGGCTAAGTGTCTGGACTTCATTTATTCATTTTACATATAACATTTTATTGTTGGCATCTAAACTTTTTTTAACATCCTTGTTCACTTTTCCTTATTAGCTAATCTTAGCTTATTCTTCTTTTATATTTTACTAAAGTAAAGATTTAACCATTATTGTTTAAGTTTCTAATATGTTAATATTATTCTAAAGATTTAAAGGTAATACTCAAAATATTCTTTCAAAATTATAATTTGTGTTTGTTAGGTTTTTATTTTTTATTTTTTTTTACCATGCTCTTAAGGATCATATTCATTCTTAGAGAGTAAATGTAAAATAAACTAATATTAGAATGAAATATCAGTGATGAGATCATGCTGTTTTAAGCATACCCATCAACATTGATTCAATGTGAAAACATGTTGATTTACGGAAATCGGTTTAAGTGTTGATTCAGAAACAAAAAGTCAGCATTTAAATATAAACATTAATCCAAGATCAAAAAAACAAAGTTAAACTGATGTTATGTTTTATGAACGTTTTCAAAAGATAACTATTTAAAATGTTAACTAAAATATATTTTTTAAAAAGTTTTACAAATCGGGGTAAAAGGGTTTTTGTATTACTCAATGTCACCTTATAATTCACAGTCATCACCTTTTTGATTTTCTTTATTACCTTTTTTAATTAACTTATTCATCTTCTTTGGTTGTCGGATTTCTGTTTACCTTCATTTAATTGATAAGGTGCATAATTCAAGCAGGAGGCTAATTCATTTATTTTTAAAAGGCAGCCATTAAAGAGAATTAATAAATATTTATATATATATATACATATATATAGATTTGCATATATATATATATATACAGGGACTATTCTAGACCGTTTTTGACAGTGCCAACCGTATTTGGGTGCCACCCAAATTCAAAATTAAGGACCTTTTTTTTTAATACAAAAATTGCTGCTTTTTTATACGTTTTTTCTGCAAATATTGTATATTTTAAAACAAATATTTTTAATGCAAATGCCGATCTGTTGGGTACCGCCGCCCAAATTTTTTTCCTAGAATAGCCCCTGATATATATATGTATATATATTAACATTTATCATAAAAAATACACAATTATATGCTTCATTTTTAGTTTTACTTATTATCTTATAATAATATAAAGTATAAACTTTATAGTTTACAATAATTTTTTGAAAAGGAAAATAAATATGTTGTTGTTGTTATTATATATTGTCACTTATTATAACTAGAATATTTTACTTATATTCGTTCATAATTTTTTATTATTTTAATTTAATTTTTTTTATTTTATACTTATAACATATAATTTAATTAATTATAACTTATTTTTAATATATATTTATGTTATTCTTCCCTAACTTTATTAATATTATCTTTTTCATTATTTATTTTAATTGTTAAATAAAAATTATCTTTATTTTTTATTATTTTATCAATTGAATTTCATTTATATTATTAATAAATACTATTATTATTTTTAATATTTTTGGTTATATTGTTGTTCATATTACTGTTTGTTTCCTTATTTCACTTTAATCATTTCATTTTATAAACTGTACTACTTAAATGTCTATTCGCTGCAAAGATTGTTTCAAAAAAATTAATACAAACCATCACTACCTTCAATGTAATCATTGCCTAAACCTTTTTCATAAAAAATACTGTCGTCTGAATGATATGGAGTTTAGGATATTGAAAAAATCTAAAGCATCTTGGCTCTGTTTTTCATGTAGGAAATATGTTTTTCCATTTAGTTCTTTATCTGATAAGGAGCTGTGTCTGCAAACAAATGATAAAGTTATTTATATTAATGAACTCTCAAACAACATACCATCTTTTCCAAACACCATAAAGTCTAATCTTTATAATGAACTTAATGATTTCATTTCCCATCAACTTAATAACAACAATGACAATGATGTAAACCTCGATGAAAACCCTATTAATTGTTAATATACGGACATAGAATGTTTCAACTCTGCCAACATCGACAAAAATAGTTTTTCTCTCTTTCATTTAAATATTGCTTCTTTTGTTAAAAATTCTGACGAACTAAACTCACTTTTATCTCTTATTAACCATGAATTCAGTATTATTGGCATAACCGAAACTAAACTAAAATGACATTCTACTAATTATCCCATTAAATCTTACAGGTTATGTTTATGAGCACACTCCAACAAAATCTTATTTTGGAGGTGCTTTACTTTATATATCTAATACATTAACTTACAAAACTCGAAATGATCTTAACATGCTTAAACCAAAGTTTTTCTGTGTTTGTGGAAATTATATTTCTAAAAATTCAAACATCATTTTTTGCTGTATTTATCGCCATCCTAGTATGGATATTTCAGAATTTAATAAATCATATTTAATTCCACTTTTTAAAAAATTATCTATGGAAAAAAAAAAACTAGTTTTTTAATGTCGATTTTTTATTAGCAAACTCAGATAATTATGTCTCGGAATTTTTAGACACCATTGCTTTAAATAACTATTGCCAACAAGAATCACAAATGACTCCAAAACTCTAATTGATAACATATTTACTAATGCAACTTCTACAAATATTTTTTCAGGTAATTTTACTTCTACGGTATCAGATCATTTACCCCAATGTTTAATACATCCATTTTATAGAACCAAAATTAATCCTTGTAAAAGCAACTTTTTTTTGTTGGGATTTAAAAAAAAAAATTGTGAAGATTTATGTGAATTCTCAAAAATTAGCTGAACTAATCAATGCCAAGGATGGAAAGACTAATAATTCATTTTAAGAATTTTTCACAAGTTTTAATTCTCTTTTAGATAAACATGCACCATTAAAAAAAGCAATCGCTGCTTGCAAGTGGTCTCAAACCTTGGATAACACAAGGAATCTTGGCTTAAATTAAAATACTAGATAAGGAGGTTTTCGCCAATGAGATATAATATCCAAAAAAAATTTTTGAACTAAAAATCCTAAAACTAAATTGTCTTGTAAAGTTTTACAATTGTCTTTTTGTGTATGACTTTCTCCAAAATTAAACTACGAAACTCTTTTTTAAACTTTTTTTATTAAAACAAATTAAATTTATAATCATCATACCAGGAATACAGAAAATAGTAAGCTATACTCTTCTATTTTCAACAAAATTAAATATGGTAAGTTTTCTATAAAACAACAATATATTTCCCATTGGAACCAGTGTATTCCTGCATTAATAAAAAAGTCTAAAAAAAAAAGTCTCCTTGTTATGGATTATTTATTGTTCAAAAGAATTCAATTTAAAAATATATTGTATATGAGTGTATTTCTTTTAAATTTCTCTCTGTACTGTAGTTTTCTTTATTATATAATTTCTTTAATGAGCGAGTGGTTTGATTTTTTTTTTAAATATTTATCTATACTAGCTGGGGGGACCCATAAAATACGGGTCTTTACCAAATTGACCATTTTTATACTTATCTATAGCTATCCGGACGTAAACTAAGGGTCTTAGTAAATCTATTCCACACCGACCTTTTCTATACTTATTCCTTACCTCAATATTTTTTTAAAACCGTTTAAAAATGTACATATAAAAAACTATACTTACTTTTTGATATAACAAAAACATTTCTGTTAAAATGTTCTTTTAAAAACTTCAAACAATTTTAATATTATGCCGATTATAAAAATTTTAATAAGAAAAAACGTAAAAAAGACTACGAACTTAGAAAAATGCTAAAACATTCAACACGTGACGCCGTTAAAGTACGCCTTAGTTAACGTTCATAACATATACACATCTAATTAGATTTTATTTAAATTCAGTTGTTGCAAACTTTTTGAATTTTTAATTACACTTCTTCTGCGTCATAAATAATCTTAAATTCTAAATAGAAAATACGTTTATGGGCTAATTGGTAGACGCGCAACACTTAGACAGATATAGTCATCTCACCCCGGGAGTTCATACTCCAGTGACCTTTTTTTTTCATCCCAACTTACAACAAAAGTAATTAAAAATAAATGTTATTATTGAAACAGTTTTAAACATTTTTTCCTATTTATCTTTGAACTTAACTTTATTCACTGCAAACATACTTTTGGTGTTTGTAAGCGTTATTTTACGTTTAGTATTTGTAGGAATTATTTGCACGCACGTATTTTAAACAATTATTTTTACTGTTTCATCTAAAAATCTTATTTAATTTAGTTTAATAATTTCTTAAATATAATATATATAATATAATTTAAAATATTTTATTAACCCTATTTAAATAAGTATCAAAACTCTTTCCTTTAATTTAAAAAGAATTTAAAATTAACGTAGGCTATAACGATATTTTACCCTTTCATCAACATTTATTTAAAAAGTAAATTTGGATATAGAAAAACGGGTTAAAGACTTATTATTTTAAATAAGTTAGCTTTATCTATTTAATGCTTTTCGTAAAAGCGTTTCTTTAAAGACTCTTAACAAATCATTCAAGCTGTTTTTACTGCCTAAGTTATTAAACCTGTTGTGTGTGCCAAAAATCGATACTTAATGCAAATGGAAACTTCGAGTGCTAATGGTGATTAAAGCATAAATGGTTCCTATTCATATATAATAAAAGGAAATATAAAAGACAAAGCAAAAATGATTTTTATATCCATTTAAAACAATAAATCCCAAAATAAAAAAATATAGATATTT